CTGAAGAAAAAGGAAATATTTAAAGGAAGACATTTTGATGACACTCAGGACGTTAAGGTAATATAATGACAGCTCTGATGGCCATTCCAGAAAGAGTTCCAAAATCGCTTTGAAGGGTGGACTAGGTGCTGGCGTCACTGCACAGCTTCCCCAGGGCAGTATATTCAGGGTGACCATAGTGATAGTCAGCAATGGGGTATGCAGCAATATAATTTTTTGAGAGAGTCTCACTATGTTGCCCTCAGTAGAGTGCTGTGGCATCACAGCTCACAGCAACCTCAAACTCTTGGGCTTAAGTAATTCTCTTGCCTCAGCCTCCCAAGTAGCTGGGACTATAGGTGTCTGCCATAACGCCTGGCCATTTTTTTGTTGTAGTTGTCGTTGTCGTTGTTTAGCTGGCTGCAGGCCGGGTTTGGACCCACCAGCCTCTGTGTATGTGGCCAGTGCCCTAACCAGAGCTACGGCACTGCCTTGTAGCACTTTTTTAAGGATGAGTTTGTGAACTTAATGGTCAGACCTCTAAAAAAGAAGGAAATCCTATCATACGACACAACACAGATAACCCGGAGGATGTTAGGTTAAGTGAAATAAGCCAATCACAAAAGGAAAACTACTGCATGAAAGTTCCACTTACATGTGGTCCCTGAAAAAGATTCGTAGAAACAGAGAGGAGAATGATGGGGGGATGGGAATTGTTGGCGGCATACACTTTCCATTATGCAGGTGAATAAGCTCCAGCCACCCTCTGCACAACACTGTGACTGTAGCTAACAATACTGTATTGCGCACTCAGAATTTGTTGAGAGGGTAGATCTCATGACAAGTGTTTTTACCACTGTAAAAATCACTACATGTGAGAACAGACTTCATGGGTACGCAAATGTAATTTGTCATGGTTTTTCCCTAAGGACAGAATTTATTAGTATTTTTATGGAAGATATTTACATCTAAGTCCATAAGTAAAGTTGGTCTGTAATTGTTTTGTATTTGTTTTGTATAAATAATCTTTTTATATTTGTTTGGTGATTCCAGCTCTATTAAGTGAATTGCTTAATTTTCTTACTTTTCCTTATTTTTGATGTTCAGAAAAGCTTGCCTATAAGTCATCTGATTGTTGGACATTTTTTTGCAGGCAAATATGACTAAGGATTACTAAGGTCAATGTTATTGGCTTATCTGGGTATATTTTTTTCTTTTTGAAATAATTTTAATAATACTTCCTAAATATATACCTTTTTGAGGTTGGTACCATAATCTTCTTTTACAGATGACAAAATTGAGGCTTAAAAACACTGCCACATGTATTTCTATGAAGAATACAGTGGTGTTTCCTTAAAGAATTACAAATAGACTTTATTTATTTTTTTTTTTTTTGTAGAGACAGTCTCACTTTGTTGCCCTTGGTAGAGTGCCGTGGCGTCACACAGCTCACAGCAACCTCCAACTCCTGGGTGTAAGCAATTCTCTTGCCTCAGCCTCCCAAGTAGCTGGGACTACAGGCGCCTATCACAACACCTAGCTATTTTTTTGTTGCAGTTTGGCTGGGGCCAGGTTTGAACCCACCACCCTCAGTATATGGGGTCAATGCCATAGTCACTGAGCCACAGGCGCCGCCCTACAAACAGACTTTTATCATAGGATCCAGTAATTCTGCTTCTGGGTATATACCCAGAATTGAAAGCAGAGACTCTAAACAGATATTGGTGCCCTCATATTCAAAATAGAAGCAAGCCCTGTGCCCATCAAGGTGTGAATGGATAATTAAAACATGGTGTGCACAAGCAATAGAATATTAATTTGGCCTTAAAAAGGAAGGGAATTCTGACACTTGCTACAAGATGGATGAACCTTGACGACTTCATGCTAAGTGAAATAAACCAGGCACAAAAGGACGATTCCGCTTATACCTGGAGTGGTCAATTCACAGAGACAGAAGCGGAACTGTGGTTGCCGGGGCCCAGGACAGAGCCAGTGTAGCGTTACTGTCTAATGGCTACAGAGTTTCTGTTTTACAAAATGAAAAGAGCTTTGGAGATGGATGTAGAGATGGTTGCATAACATCATAAATATATTTAACTTCACGGAACTGTACATTAAAAAATGGTTAAAATGGCATATTTTATGTTATGTATATTTTGCCACAATTAAAAAAAAAAGAACAGTGCTAGATTAATAGGCCAATTAACTAGGACTTGGAGCACCAAAAATAGGTTTTGGATAAAAATCTGGTATTTCAGTAAAAGCATCAGAGGAAAACTATGATCATCAGAGGACTTGTTGCTTGTTTTTAAAGATGTAGATTTGTTTTCATTTTGAATCATTTAGCATGAGGGAAGGGGTATCATATTCTTTTCTATGCCCTTGGGGCCTCTTAAGGTTGCCAGATTTAGCAAATAAAAACCACAGGATGCTGTGAAATATTTAGGAATACTTAAAAACATATCCATTGCATTTATCTGAAATTCAGATTTAACTGGAGGTCTTGTGTTTTATCTGGCAACCTGTCTAAGGGCTTGAACCCAGCGGTGCTGAGAGGCGTTAGGAGGGTCTCAGGCCCCCCAGTGAGGATTGGGCTGGCGGGTGCCTGCAGTCTTCACTGTCACGGGGCAAAAGCTAACCCGGTTGCTCTGCTCTGTGAGACAAGTGGGTTTTCCCTTGAGGGGATCCTTTAGGAGAGGCCCTGTGGTCATGGTAATCAGGAAACACCCCAAGTCTGTTTTAGCTTTGTTATGGGGAAGCAGTTGGGGGGGGTTGGGGGCTGGAGTCCAAGGCAACTCTGCAGTTGGCCAGTTGGCTGGGGTTGGGGACTCTGTCCTGGTTTTAGTCACTCCCTCATCCAAAATGGTGGACCATTTTGATCTGGAACGCTGGAACCCTCATTTCCCACTACAGCTGGTTTCCACAGAAGCACAGACAGAAAAGTCACCTGCGGCACAGTGAGAACGTCTACCCAGGGCACGAGACGGAGGGGAAATCTGCATGCCTTACAGTGCCGGTGAGAGAGGATACCAGAGAGGGGTGAGGTCCGGGAGAACAGGTCTTCTCAGGGAGACCACGAGGATGCACCTGCAGGGCCCTCTCCATGGTGACTCAGCTCTTGAGAGTTTATAGGCTTAACTTCCTGGAACCTGGAAATTTCCAAGTTCTGTGAAATCCTATAGTTCTGTAGGGGCTGGAGTAGCATCTCCTGCTTGATTCAAACTGGCCAATGGGAAGGGTGCCTGTGGGGTGGAACTTTTTGACTGTCCATAAAAAGGGAAAGACCAAGCCAGTCGGGGAGCGCGGCCATTTGGAAATCTCCTGGCCGATGAATAAAGCCCTTCCTCTTATAACTATGGTGTTTGGGTGCTCTTTCTCTCCCTTGGGCCTCATCTTCCTACAACACCAGGAGCCACAGAACAACCAGCACTGCCACACCCAGCTGCTCCCTTTCTCTAAGAGATATCTTCATGCAGTGTCAGGTGCTTGGTGGCTCACACCTGTCATCCCAGCACTCTGGGGAGGCCCAGGCGGGTGGATTGCTTGAGCTCAGGAGTTCAAGACCAGTCTGAGCAAGAGAAAGAACCTGTCTCTACTAAAAATAGAAAAACTAGCGAGGCATTGTGGCAGGTGCCTGTAGTCCCAGCTACTCAGGAGGCGGAGGCAGGAGGATCCCTTGAGTCTAGGAGTTTGAGGTTGTTGTGAGCTATGACATAGTGGCACTCTACCCAGGGCACAGAGTGAGATGGTCTCAAAAAAAAAAAAAATGTCGGGTGGCACCTGTGGCTCAGTGGGTATGGTGCCGGCCCCATATACCGAGGGTGACGGGTTCAAACCCGGCCCCAGCCAAACTGCAACCAAAAATAGCCGGGTGTTGTGGTGGGCGCCTGTAGTCCTAGCTACTCGGGAGGCTGAGGCAAGAGAATCACCTAAGCCCAGGAGTTGGGGGTTGCTGTGAGCTGTGTGATGCCATGACACTCTACTGAGGGCCCTGAAGTGAGACTCTGTCTCTAAAAAGGAAAAAAAAAAGTCTTCACCCAGATATTTAATTGGGAAGCAATCATACATTTCAACCGTTTATTGACAAGAGGTGTAGATTGCCACAAGGGTTCAGACACACAAGCAAGACACAGGGGAGGGACAGGGACCGCAGCAAAGTCGCCTTCTTTGTTTATCAAATTGGAAAGGTGGGCCATCGCTAAGCCGTCTTTTCAAGTAAGCTTTTGAAAATGGAATCATTGTCCTGATGCTTGGGAACAGCAGCCCCTGTAACTCAGGCCACGGCCGCAGAGCAGAACTAAAATGCACGTGGAGGGAGCCGAAGGTGACTAAACCTGGGTTTTCTAACACTTAGTCCATTAAAAGAATATACCTACTGGTTTTAAAACTTTTCTTCTTTTCAAATTACACATGCTTTCCCTGAGAAAGTGGCTGATTAAGGAAAACCGTTTCATTTCAAGGGGTGAAAATAAAATTGACAATAAAAGCAACGCTAACATGTGATGCCATCTTCTCTGCGTGTCCTGCAAGATGTGCTCACTGTTAGGTCAGGTCTTGACAAGACAAGGCGGCCCCTCCACTGTCCTCTGCTCCCTGCCACTGGCCCCAGCCTCTCTGAACGCTCACAGGGCAAACCGCTGGTGCCCTCTTCAGGAATGCAACCAAGGACAGTACTTGTCTGTTGTAGAAATCGGAGCTTACAGTTTTAGTAAAGAAAGGGAACCCTTCGACTCCGCTCTAAGCTATTCTAATCTGTAGTGACACTTCACTTTTTAAAAGCTCAAAATAAAAAAAGTCATAAAATACAGTGAAGTAATCAATAGAACATTCAATATTAATGAAGATTGATTAAAAAAACTTTTTATAAAGAGAGCCAACGAAATCCATTTATATTTTAGACTATTTAATGGAGGTATTTGTTGTACACGTGGTTTTAGTTTAACAAACACAACGTATCTCTCTAGAAACACTTCACCTGAGTTGGAAATGAAATCTGCCCTGAAGAGATTTTAATTCACAAATATAACTCTCCTCAAGATATTAGCAATGATTCCAACTGAGGATTTTGCCTGAAGTTCAGGCCTCGGTCCCAGGACATGAATGAGGGAAAACTCCTTGTAGTTCAAAAGCGCTGCTGAAGTCCCAGGATTGCAGGTGCGGCCCCTTGGCCAGCGTGAGTTTCCTCACACAGCCCCGGAGCGAGGTCCGGCTGCTCAGGCAGTTCTGCTTTACACCAGCTGTTCGGGAAAGAGAAGACAAATCCGGCTTCATTTGGTTGAAATGACATCAGTGGAAAACTAAGAACAAAAAAAATCTCAAGTGGGTTCTCTATCAGAATTAGATTTTCCTCATGTGTGGTTTCAGTGAAGAGCAGAAGTTACAGAAAACTTTTCATATGTGATCCTTTCAAGACATAGTTGTGACTTCAAAAAAAAATCACAGCAGGGCAGTGCCCGTAGCTCAGTGGGTCGGACACCAGCCACATACACCAAGGCTGGAACGTTTGAACGTGGCCCGGGACAGCTAAAACAACAATGACAACTCAACACACACACACAAAATAGCTGGGCACTGTGGAGGGTGCCTAGAGTCCCAGCCTACTTGGGAGGCTGAGGCAAGAGAATCACTTAAAGCCCAAGAGTTTGAGGTTGCTGTGGGCTGTGACACCATGGCACTCTATCCAGGGTGACAGTTTGAGATGCTGTCTCAAAAAAAAAAAAAAAAGAAAATCACACAGCAGATGTTGATTCTTTTAGTTGTAACAATTCCTTGGAATCATCATTATCTAAAATGATAATTCTAATCAGAAATGGAAACGAAAGGATGAGTCTAGAATGGTTCATCCAGTCCTCACAATGATTCCCAGCTTGGGGAGTCAGCTCAGATGGGGCACCCCCGCCCAGTCACCCACCTTACTTTACATTAGACCCTATGTTCTTACTGTCTCACCTAATGATTAACTTGTAAGTGTAGGTTAGTTTAAGTTCTCCAAGAATTCCTAGGTCTTTGAAATAGCTTTTGTGAAATGGTAAAGGATTTGTCCCCCAAGCCGTGTGTCTTTCTCAATCCTGACCCCAGATATAGTGCTCCTTAGATGTGGGAGGGCAGAGTAGGTGTGCGTACGTACCAGGATAGCCACCAACATAAATGGGGTTGTTGGTGTCTGCCGAGGTGGACTGGGTGTGTGGGCTTTCGGCACGCACCGTAGTTCCATCGACGGTCAGAGTGACTCTGTGTTTGCTTTTGCTAGCAAGCAGCGTGTGCCACCTCCCGTCACAGAGCACGCTGGCAGCTCTGGGCTCGTAGGCGGCTGTTATCCTGCCGGCACCATTGTTGACGTGGAACAAGACCTGAACAAAGCAAATGCGTCTTGGTGAGTGTTTCTGTATTTCAGACCACACACCATTTGTGCAGTGCTCTTGGAGTGAGTAAAATCATGGCATTCTGTTAAAAAGGAGACCTGACTATGAGGAATAAACAATAGTTTCCAGAACTAGCCTCTTAAAGGAGTCAGATGTTCTACTAATCCAATCTACGTCCTACAAGAAGAGACGGGCACAGACATGCCTGGAGGGAGGCCCCGTGAGGACAGGGGGAGTACGTGGAGGTCTGCAAACCACGGAGAGGCCTCAGAGGAAACCACCTCCACGACACCTTGATCGTGGAGCTAGCCTCCAGAACTGTGAGAAACTCCCTCTCTGCAGTCCCAGCCACCAGTCTGGGCCACTTTGCGCTGGTGCCCTGAGCAGACTCAGATGGGAACAATTTCAAGTGTACTGTTGTAAATTCTGCAACACATGAACTACTCAGTATCATTTCAGGGTGGCCTGTGACAAATTAAAGATGTATGTTAGACACCTTTGGGAAACCACTAAGAAAAGTTGAAAAAGAACAATAAACAAAAAGCCAACAATGGCTGGGTGCAGTGGCTCATGCTGTAACCCTGGCAGTCTGGGAGCTGAGGCAGGGGGATCACCTGAGCTCAGGAGTTTGAGACCAGACTCAAGAGCGAGATCCCATCTCTACTAAAAATAGAAAAACTAGCTGGGCATAGTGGTGGGCACCTGTAGTCTCAGCTACTCAAGAGGCTGAGGCAGGAAGATTATTTGAGCCCCGGAGTTTAAGGTTGCTGTGAACTATGACACCACAGCACTCTACTCAGGGTGACAGAGTGAGACTCTCTGTCTTAAAAAAAAAAGACCAATAATACAGGTAAAATATACAGTATGCCAAAAAATTACATAAATTACATTTTCTGTAGCTATTACATTTCTAATAACATTTGTTAAGATAAAGCATAAAAATGTGCAGATACAATATTTTTCAAAATTCTTTTAAAGCATAAAATGGAAAAAAGCTGGAGAGGCCATTCTGTCTTGACGTGACATAAGAGGAGAAGGGGGGAAGGTAAGAGGGCTGGTGTGACCTTCTTAGAGCCCCCCCAACTCCAGGACATCTAGGGGTCAAAACCCTGCGGGGTGTAAGTAGAGAGACAGAAACAACTGAATCCATCAGGGGAAATCTAGAACACAGGGCCTTGTCCCCTGCCTTCTAGGAGGTAACACCCTGGAAAATCAAGCATCTTACCCCTAGGACAACAAGGGTTGGTCCTGTGCAGTAGAAATGGTGGCAAATGCAGTGAGGTGGAGAGAGGACCAGTGAGGCCACCAACCTGATCCCCCATGGCCTGTGAGTGACGTGGCGACACCCCCAAGTTCTCACACAACCCCTTGAGGAAGGCAAAGGCTGCTGCAGATGCAGAAGCAGCAGTGCCCAGAACCACCAGGCTGGGAAGGAAGCCTGGGCTGCAGGGACAGTGCTGAACTCGCGGAGAGCAAGCCCAGCAGCGGGGACCTTGGAGAGGCTGCCCTGCCGGCCAGAGAATGAACTCTGGCAAGGAAAGGGCCGTCCGGACTTCCTTCCCCACACCCTGCCTGTGTCCAGGTGGCCCCAAGGAGGTGAGGAAGGAGAATGAGAACCAGGAGAAACTCTGACGGGGGCAGTGTTCGAGCAGAAGGGACTGAAGTCCTGGAGATGGTTGAGCTGTCTTTGTTCCCAGCATGAAAGGGACATGAAAGGCTGAGAAGCGAGAGCAGAGTGTAGTTGCAGGATAAAATATTTTTGGAATAAGAAAATTTAGACTGTGGTGTCCCCGTTCCATGGAGTGACACTGTATAGCAAAAAGTAATGGACTATTGGAGACACAAGCACCTGGGGGAAGCTCCCGGAAACCAGGCTGAGTGTCAATGCCAATCTCAAGAGGATACCCACTGCATGGACTTACGTACGGGACACCAGAGAGACAGTGAGGAGGGTGGAGAACACATGAGTGTCTGGGGTGTGGATGCAGGGGTGGGTGTGGCCGTGAAGGGGTGAGGGTGGGGCCTGTGGTCACCCTACCATTAAGAATCTTGACTGAGGCTCAGCACCTGTGGCTCAAGTGGCTAAGGCGCCAGCCACATATACCTAAGGTGGTGGGTTCGAATCCAGCCTGGGCCCGCCAAACAACAATGACGGCTGCAACCAAAAAATAGCCAAGCCTTGTGGCGGGCGCCTGAAGTCCCAGCTACTTGGAAGGCTGAGGCAGGAGACTCGCTTGAGCCCAGGAGTTGGAGGTTGCTCTGAGCTGTGATGCCACAGCACTCTACCCAGGGGGACAGCTGGAGGCTCTGTCTCAAAAAAAAAAGAATCTTGACTGAGGTGATGATCACACATTTGTATCACAAACTGCATGTCATAAAATTGTGTAAAGCTACACACACACACACACACATGTAGTCATGCACGTGTATCTGGTGTAACTGAGCAAGCTCCGTGTATTGCGCAGATGTTCAGAGCCTGGACCTGACGTTGCCCGCGGGTTACACGCTACACTGCTGGGAAACCTGGAGGAATGGGGCATGGGGCCCTCCCTGTGCCTTTCACTGTAACTTCCTATGAAATCTATAATTATTTCCAGATAAGAAGTTAAAAAAGTCTTAGAAGAGCAAGTGCATCAGGTTGGCAGCTTCCTCTCAGTTGCAATTTTGCTGTAAGTCTAATTTCAAATATGTAAAAGAAGATACATATATTTTTTCTTTATAAACCATTTAGGTACACATTTACTTTTGTATATAGACTATTATGTAAGAAAGACAAAATGGTAAATTCAAGAGTTCAAACATCTTAGGCAAAACTTGACTTCTGGGCTTCAGAAAGATGTGGAAACTTCTGAAGACATTTTTCTTTCTTTTTTTGCAGACTTTTCTTCTGTGTTCTGATGCGGGCTTCCTTCTCAAATCTCAGTCTGACAAAACTTACGGTATCTTTTATTCAGGTACCAAGGTATAGGCCGCTGATTGAATTTGTGCCAGATGATCCTTCCAAAGATGTCTCTTCTCCGAGCACGAGGTCTAGTGTACTCTTGACCAGTCTGAAGAAGCCTTAGACATCCTCTCTCTCCTGGACAATGTTATCTAACGCATCTAGGGACTCTATTACCTTCTCTAACCGCTTTGCACTTGGCATTGGCAATCTCTGCTGCTTGGCCTTTGCTCTAGGGTTAGGAGCATGTTTCTTTCATTCAGTAGGATGTACCAAAGTTTATGTAAATCTTCATTACTTTTGTTCCTTAATTGATGGCAGGTCCATGATGCTCCAGATTTTACTTTTTCTTCTCCCCAATTCTTTGGGTCATCAAAAAATTCTACCAGTCCTTTTCTTAATAATGTAGCATGAAGTAATCATAATGGTGAAGGGATGTGACATCTGGTATATTCCTAGGCAACAAACCAAGAGAAACCCTGCAACTTGGGCTGGCAGGGACCTGAAGAATTATTCACCACCTGGACACCTTCAGAGCGTCTGAGACTCTTCTACAAAGAATAGCCAAACTGGCCGCACCCATTATTTCTGGTAACTAAGCAAATTCAAAGAAGATATTTTAAAAAGCTTTTTAGGTTTATCAGTTTTTAAAATATTAATGAAAGCTTCTCTTGACTCCATTAAAGTGGATGGTTGGAAATTTGCATCTGAGTATTTCTGCTGTTTCTCAACTGCCCTGCCTCTGACACCGGGATGCTGGGAAGGGCCCAGTGACACAAGGCTCTTACCTTGCCATCTACAATCTCTAGTCCAATGGCATCGACTTTGGCACTGCTGATCCCCAGGAGGACACCGTTCTCTGACGAGGTACGAAACTCGAGTGTGATATTCACATCTGACTGGACTTTGTAGCCTTCTTTGACTGAAAAACACAAGGACAGTCTGAGTCAGGAGGGAGCCCTGTGAGGCGCAGACTGGAGTGCAAGGGACTGAGCCCCCACTGCTCCTCTGGACCCAGCTCCAGCCCTCCCTGCAAGTCACCCCCACCCCTTGAGCCTTGGCTCCCGCATCTGTAAGATGAAGTGGAGCTTTTGAGGAAGACACAGGGGATTAGCTGGGAGCGGGCAAAGCAGAGGCAGCAAATCCCTCACCTATGGTCTAGAGGCTCTTGACAACCCCTCGACCCTGTGGACACGTCCAGCCTGTGAGTCTTTCCAGTATCCTGGTGGGATTTTATTTCTATCATCCCTTTATCATCATCCACGAATAGTGGGCTTTATTTTCCTAATATCTAGGTACCGGGTAAATGGTCATTTACTAAAAGTAAATGGGTTTTTTAAAACCAGGGAATGAACTAAGCCCAGGGCTGAAGGCAAACAGTGGTGTTACCAGAGCGTGGCAGCTGGGGTGTCCAAGGGGAGCTGGGGCCACAGAGGGGGCTGCCCAGCAGGGCTGTCGGCCAAGCCTGGGACCAGCGACAGGCCCAGAGTGAGGAGAGATGACCCTCGCTCTTCCCCTCACTCCCAAGCTCCTGTTGTACCCTCCTGGCACTGGCTGCTCTAGACATTCTATGCTGATGATTTTTAATTCAAAAGCCTTTATTCACTTGGACAGCAAATGTGCCTTACATAAATTTGAGGAAAGTACAGATGAAACAAACACCCCACATTTGGCCTTTGACAGGAGTCACACGGCTTCTAGCGGGAGAAAGATTTAATCAGGCCATCTGGATAGCACAAGGCAAAAGGCAGCTTTCACTTTAAGGGTCAAGAAATTAGGAATTAATGAAACACTGAACGAAGTGTGGCTGTCCTGCAGCCTTGCCCAAGGCATCCTGCTTATCACAGACTTCTTGGGTCTATATTGCTTAGAGCACGGGCAACCCCAGGGATCTCCTTCGTGAGCGCTGGTTCACGTGATACATACCGAGAGCCGCATATCCACTTCCGTCAAAGAAAGTTCCTTCCTGGGCTGCGGCATAGCACCTGTTCACTGCAAAGGCAGATGCTGGGCTGTCCTTGTCTAGCTGTTTGCCATTCACTGTCACATCTCCAATGCAGGCAGGGATGCTGTGAGTGATCTGAGCCAAATGACAGGTGACAGGAGGAGGCAGGTTTACAATGAGAGAGGCTAGGACACATTTTTCCTATTTCATCAAATCTGTCTTAGCAAAACACACTAAAATGTTACCTTTTGGTTTTTTAAATTTAATTTCTGTAATACTTCCCATGAACATCTAACTTAGTGATACCATTTGAATATCTTTGCTAGCTAAGGCACTGAAAGTACTTTCTAGTATTTTAATGAAATATCATGGAAGCCAAGAATGCTGAGTCTACGAATGTGCAAACACAAATTCCTGAACTGTGCTGGGGCCAAGGGAGTACATGAAGGGAAGTGTTCACTAATAGGCAGGAAAGGCTGTGTGCTCTGAGGCTCCGGCCCCCACCCCAGCTGAGAAATAGGCAGGAAAGGCTGTGTGCTCTGAGGCTCCGGCCCCCACCCCAGCTGAGACGTAGGCAGGAAAGGCTGTGTGCTCTGAGACTGCGGCCCCACCCCCAGCTGAGACTGGAACCAGTCCCTGGCCTATTAGGAACCAGGCTGAACAGCAGGAGCCAGCGGCATGTGAGCAAGCAAAGCTTCGTCTGTCGCTGTCTCCCACAGCCCCTGGATGGGACCATCTAATTGCAGGAAAATAAGCTCAGGGCTGCCACTGAGTCTGCATTATGGTGAGTTGTATAATTATCTCATTATATTACAATGGAATAACAATAGAAATAAAGTGCACAATTACAATGATACACTGAATCATCCTCAAACCTCCCCCACCCCTGGCTGTGGAAACCAGTCCCTAGGGCCATAAAGGCTGGGCCCGCTGGTCTAGGGGCAGCTCCAGCACCCGCCCCACGGCTATGCTTCTGAAGGGCTGCCTTCTGCAGCCGAGCCCCACGTTCAAGCAAGGGGACTTAAACCTAAAGATGTGAAGACCTCCTTCCTTCTGCAAAACAGACACAGCCGCCACAAAGGTAAAACCGGCCTGGAGAGAAAATGCTCTTACATTTCCGATGTTCCTGGCTCTGTACACGGCGGGGAGGCCTCCCAGGTAGAACGTCCCTTCCACATCCAATGTGGTTCCATCTCCCACCATGGTCACCATGGGGGATTCTTGGCCGTCAACAGTCATGAAGCCTTTTCTTTTAACAAACTCAGTCCTGACCTACAACAAGAGGAAAATGTCCATCATTTCAGAGGAATCTCAAGAACCTTTGACAGACGTGTGTTTGTAACATCTGTATCTGTCATAACCCAAATGGCATCTAGAGGATGGCCCAGATTTTCACAATGCTGGTGCTGAGATGTGACAGACCCTGGCAGGAGACAGCAAGTGGGCACAGGTGGAACCCACTGCAGGCCAGGAAGCATTCCAGAGTCTGGGTGTGAACGAGCTATGTGAGGCTCGGTTGTTGCACACCGTGACCCAGACGCCCCAGGGTGGGCTCTGTTTGCTGCTTGCCTAGTGGACGTTTCCAGTTTCTTTCATTAATTCAGCCAATGTTTGCTGAGTGTCTATTTGGTGTCAGGCTCCTGGGGACACTGGAGAAGCAGAAAAGATCCCTGCCTTCAAGGAGTCTGTGTTTTCTGGGGGAAATAGCGGACGCAGGGCAAGTGAGAGGTCAGGGGGCATAATGGAGTGAGCCCCAATGACAGGCGGGCTGCAGGCCTCCTGGGGACCTACCGTGTGCCACTTGCCATCGCTGAGCAGAGCTGGGTGGGAGACCTTTGTTCTGCCTTTGCCGAGATCAAACATAAAGTGGAGGCGGCCGCCGTGGAGCTGCAGCGTGGCGTAGTCCACCTGGTTCTGGTGAGCCACGTAGTAGACAAGGCCACTGGAGGCAAACGTGCGGAGGGTCAGCTGCACCGAGAGCCTGGGGGACAGGAGCCGTACTCAGGAAGGAGTAACTCAGAGAGAGAACCTGACAGCCATTCCAGTGTTAACGTGGAACGTCTCAGGAAAGGACATTGATCACTCATTCTAGCACCCGTTCTTTTAATAAATGGCTAGCCTGTCCCTGAGTCTGCCAGAGCTTTTCTGGGATGAATGAGGGTAGAGCAATGAACAAAGAGGATGATCCCTTCTCCAGGTACTGACATCAGAGACGCATCAGGGAGCCGCAGTTCTGTCCCATAGAGGCTCCACTAAGTAGTCAGACAATTCTGGAAGAGGATATTTCAGTTGAGGGCAGTCCAAAGGGGCAAGCCCCACAGAGCTGAGCAGGAAAAGCTGTCGCCCTGGGTTATGGTTGAATTAACTCCCTTATGGTTGGCAGCCAGGAACCCCCACCTGTGGCCACTCGGGGGTGGAGGAAGGCAGCATCAGGCCTTCCTCAGAGGGACCATCAGGGTCAGTCGCTGGAGCACACAGGGACAGAGGAGGGAGGGGCAGCTCTGTCTTGGTGGGGGAGAGGCCTGGGTGTATTCAGACTTTATTTCAAACACAGTGGGAAGTTACGGGGGGGGGGGGGGAATAGTTTAAAGGAGGGAGTGGGTGTGACTTGACTGACATCTTTAAAAGATCCCCTGATGTGAAGAACAAGTTATGCGAAGCAGGGTCACCAGGCAGCTGTCATTAAGGTCCACACGGACTGGGGGCTTACTTAGACCAGGTGGCAGTGGGGCTACGGAGGAACTGAACTGATTCAGGGAAAGTTCTGGAGGAAGAAGCAAGAGGACTCGCTAATAAGGCTTGGTTTGGGGAGTGGGAAAAAACAAAAGTAAAATAATCTCTAGGTCCAGGCTTTGAGCAAGCAGAGGAATGGTGCTGACAGGGTGAAGAGCCGCAGGGCAGGTCCGGGAGGAGGGAAGTCCCTGCTGCTGGGATGAGGCTCGCTGTCCCTGTCAAGCAGAGGCCAGGGAGGGTGTTTCCCTGTCCAGGTGATATTTTAAAGCCACTAGAACTTAGCCACCCCAGGAGGATGTGTGGGAGGGACCAGGCAAAGGAGACTGGAGACACACAGGCAGAGAGCCAGCGGGCTGTGGAGGTCCAGGAGAGCCAGGCTGTGGCCTGCAAGTCGGTTTGAGAGCCCAGAGGGGAGCGGGGGAGGCTGATTGTGTGGTTAGAGGAGGGAGTGATCCCTGAGGAAAGGACAGACAGCCACGTAAGGCCAGTTTTCCAGAAGCCCTGCTGTGACACAGAGCCACACTCTACCGGACATGTGTGCGGAGGTGGGTCCGAGCCTCCTGGGGAGTCTCTGTCTCAGAAGTTAGGGTTCTAGAGCAGGGACAGAGCACAGTGGCTCTAGCAGCCCCCTTATCCATGGTTATCCACAGTCAACCAAGGCCTAAAAATAGTAAATGGGAAGTTTCAGAAATAAACAATGCATACACTTTATATTGCAGACCATTCTCGGCAGTGTGGTAAAATTGTTCACCATCTTGCTCTGTCCTGCTCGGGACATGAACCATCCCTGTGAACCAGTGGGTCCACGTGTCTACGCCACCTGCATACTCATCTAGTAGTTTTGCTTGGGTCCTCAGATCAACTGTGGTGGCTCACACTGCTTGTGTTTCCAGGCACCGTATTTACTGAACAATTACCCCAAAGCACAACAGGAGTGAGGACAACATATCCTTATAGTTGGCTCCATTAATAGTTACTGTTGTTACTGTCTTCCTGTGCCTACCTTATAAATTAAACTTTATCCTACGTGAGCACATATAGGAAAACACAGTGCATAGTGGGTTGAGTACCATCCGTGGTTTTAGCCTTCCACTAGGGTCTGAGGATGTGTGTCCCCTGTGCAGGCACAGACGCTGGGGCCACAAGGCCAGGTTTGAACCCAGCTCTCCCATGTACTGGCCGTGTGACTTTGAGCTCCCTGTGCCTCCGTGTCTTTACTTGTAAAATGACGATAGTAAGAGTATCTTCCAGCCAGCGCGGTGGCTCATGCCTATAATCCCAGCACTCTGGGAGGTTGAGGTGGGTGGATCATCTGAGCTCACAGGTTCAAGAGCAGCCTGAGCCAGAGCAAGACCTCATCTTTGAAAATAGCTGGGCGTTGTGGTGGGCACCTGTAGTCCCAGCTACTCGGGAGACTGAGGGAAGAGAATCGCTTGAGCCCAAAAGTTTGAGGTTCCTGTGAGCTATGACACCATAGTATCTACCCAGAGTGACAAAGTGATACTCAAGCAAAAAAGCAAAAAACCCCAACAACTTCCTCATAGGGTAACTGTGAGGAGTAAATCTGGTTATCTGAGCGAAACAGCAAGCTGATATTCGGCACAAGGGTTTGCTGCTCTTCTATGACTGAGGATAGCAGGCTGGCAGGGCTGTGTCTGGTGGGAGTTGTGCGTTAGGAAGGGAGGGCTGGCTGCTGCAGACGTCCAGGGAAGAGAGGAGATGGGTCCAGAGGGCAGAACTCTCCATCCATGCAGCAGAAGGGACTCAGGGCTGGGAACAAAGGCAACAGCTGCTCTGTTTGGTAGTGGACAGGATGAGTTCTGTCCTCTTGATGAGGCAAGTCACTAGCTGGGGCGTGAAGAGAGGTCGGGGGTACATAGAGCTCTGACATAAGAAAAGTCATGAGTGGCGCAGTGACTGCTGCCTGAAATCCCTGCACTGTGGGAGGCTGAGGCAGGAGGATTTCTTGAGCTCAGGAGTTCAAGACCAGCCTGAGGAAGAGCGAGACCCTGTCTCTACTAAAATTAGGTAAACTAGCCAGGCTTTGTGGTGGGCACCTCTAGTTCCAGCTACTCTGAAGGCTGAGGCAGGAAGATTGCTCAAGCCCAGGAGTTTGAGGTTGCTGTGAGCTGTGACACCATGACACTCTAGACTGGGGTAACTGAGCGAGACTGTCTCAAAAAACAAAAAAAGAGAGAAGTGATGAGTAAGGAGCTATGGAAAATAAAACTGTGAGGACACGGGAATGCACCAGCTCTCCACGCAGTTTGGAGGCTCTGCCTGAGACTGGTGGCCATGGTGTTAAAGTCAGACCAGTCAGGCGGGAGCGAGCAGAGCCCCCGGCACAGAGAAGGCGAAGTGCTGGGTTTCTCCTGGGCTCCCGCAGGGGGAGAGCTGGGGGAGGTGAGGGAGTTAGCAGCAACACACCTGTGACAGTGGCCTGGACCCCCTCAGAAGGGGACGAATCACGGAAGCACTGAAGGACCAGGAAGGGGCGAGATGAGGAGGAAGAGGTCGGCTAGCAGGAGGCTTTTATAGTCCAGACTGGGAAGGGGATGGACTCTTATGAAGAAGTCACAGGTATGCCCGTGGGAGCGGCTGGCTAGAGAGGAGCCAGAACACTGAAGGGCTAGGTGTGGGGAGGCTGCTGAAGTCTGGGAGAGCCATGGCAGGAGCTACAGAAGAGTGATGGTGAACCGGGTCTGAGCCGTGTGCGCAGGGAAAGGTGTGGGCCGCGGCGGGGCTGCGGGTGGGTCTGGGCAGGCTGAGGGCTGGGGAGCAGAGGAGTGCAGGCCTGTAGATAGTGGACGAGCTGGACTCCCAGCAGGTGCGAGGGCCACAGGAACATGTGACACTGGGGATTTGGGGGTCATAGCAAAAACATTTGGGGAGACAACCAAATGTGACTAGCGAATGCTTAAAGTAGAATGCTTGATCCGGGTTTGGGACAGACAGCCACACACCTCCCTACATACACAGAAGGGCAGCAAGCTGCTGACATCCAGGCGGTGGAAGGCGGAGTCCACAGCAGCCCCCCTTAACCACAGTTAAAGCGTGGGGTCTGTACCCACACTGCTCCTGTCTCTGCCTTTGCACGGCTGCTGTTTGGTTGCAAGTCAGCTCCCATCACTAAATGAAAACCTTTGGGAGAAGACCCTGCTGCTGAAGAACAGCCCCATGTGTGACTCATTCATCCACGAGACACGCCCCATACGGACCCCAGAACAACACCCACCTCTCCCTGACGCCCCA